GGAGAACAGAAGCCAGATCCAGAATGGCGAGAATTGTTTTTGTTATATAACAGAAGGGGGGAGAAGGGTCAGAGCCGGGTGTGGTAGAAAAAGCAGGAGGGAGAAAGAAGCGGAGAGAGGGGGGTAGGGAGGGAGGAAGAGACAGGGAGGGGATGAAAGAATTTCTACTTTCATCCCTCCCTCACTTGCCCTCTCCCTCTCCCTTCTGATCCCTACAGCTGAAGAATCCTGATATACTGTCTGAGAAGAAAGACCGAACTAATGTATGCTCCAGAGGACAAGCTCTTGGTTGTAAAGATGGTTCATTCAGCCCCTGGCGGGGGATGAATGAAATAGATATATGGGATTAAGAATACACCTATTGTGATTAGCATTTAGTAATGTATAGAATTTATAGAATTTTGAATCATTATATTGCACACCCCAAACTAATATGACACTGACTAATTATACTTCAATTTAAAATAAATGGTTTTGCCCTTGTATGGCTTTGGATAAATATACTTCAATTATCTCATTCTTTGTTCTATAAAATGGGACTAAGAGCATTCTACTTCATTCTGTTGTCAGATGTGCTTGGATTTAGGAAATACCAGATCATTCATGTTAAAAGCAGTAGAATCATGAATATTGTCATTATCCTCTGAATCTTTTGACAACCACTATCCTTATTTATTTCACCTTAAGTTTTGCTTTTTCTAGAAATTCCTGTAAATGGGATCACAGAGTATGTATGCTTATGTCTACTTATTTCTCTCTGCATAATGTCTTTGAATTTTATCCATGTTATTTAGTATATCAGATTTTCATTCCTTTTCATTGCTGAGTAGGATTCCATCACATAGAGATTTCACAATTTCTTTACCATTCTCCCAATAATGGATATTTGGATTGTTTTCAATTTGAGCTGTTGTGAATAAATCTGCTAAGAGCATTCTTATTATAAGTGTTTTCATATACACATTCTTTTTTAATTTCTCTTGGACAAACACCTAAGAGAGGGTTTGATGGAATCAGCGAGGGAGAGGTGTATGTTTAATTTTATAAGAAACTGCCAAAATGTTTCCCAAAGTGGTTGTACCATTTTATGGTCATAACAACAATGTATGAGTGCTCTGGTTGTTGACAAAAATTCTCTCCTTGACCAAACTCTGTCAGACTCCTCTAAACTCTCTTCTCAAGTAGGCCCTGATTTTCAGACTTCTGAGTTTGTCTTTGTGTTGTCCAATTTTAGCAAGAATCCTACCAAGTCCTTTTAACCAGAATTCCCCCTCCCATGATATCTGGTCAGGTTCCTCATTCTCCACCATCACCGGGGTGGTACCTGATCATTTTGGCAGGCCTTCAGCAAGAGTCCCTTGGGTTGATTTAGCCAGAATCTTCTCTCTTACCCCTGATGTTTCCTCTTAGTAAATTTTTCTTCACTAAACCTCTCTCTGTTCCTGTTCCAGGCTATACATTCCCACTATCCCTTGTTGGACTTGGAGTTGAGCCTAGGCTAGTCTAAAAGAAAACCCTATGGTAGTAGGCCTCCTGAATAAAGCCTGCCTTACTCTTTAACAAATGTGAATGATTTTTTTAACATTGTTCCACATCTTTACGAAGATTTGGTGTTTTCAGACTTCTAATTTTATTTATTCTCCTGAGTGTAATGATATCTCAATGTGGTTTTAATTTCCATTTTCTTGACAACTAATGATACTGAGCACTCTTATGTGTTTATTATATCATTATTTCTAAAGTGTCTGTTCAAGTCTTTTACCCATATTTTAAAAGATGCATTGCTTGATTTTTAAAAACAAACCTTAGGAGCTCACAATATATTCTGGACACAGGTACTTTATCAGATACATTTAGCCTCAGTGTATGGCTTACTTTTTTCCTTTCATAATGGTATCTTTTTGAGTAGATTTTTTAAAATGCTGATAATGTCTAATTTACTATTCCTTTCTCTTACAATGATTTTTTTTCTGTGCTAGGAATATTTGCCTACCCAGTTCACAAAGATATTTTCATATATTTTCTTCTAAAAACTTTAATGTTTTGATCCATGAGTCATAAAAAATTAACTTTTGTGAGATAGGAATAGAGTTTTCTTCCAGCACCACTGGTTTCAATAACATTCCTTTGCCCATTGAATTGGTTTAAGTCTTTATTGAAAACCAACTGACCATATAGGTGTGAGTCTATTTCAGGCCTCTCAACTCAGTTCCGTTTATCTCTACTATTTTCCTTATGCTACTGTCCACTGTTTTGCTTAGAAGAGCTTATAGTAAGTCTTAAAGTTAGATAGTATAAGTTTGCCAGCTTTTTTTTTTTTTTAAAGAGAGAGAACGAATGAGGAGGGGAAAAGGGAGAGAGAGAATCTTAAGCAGACTCCATGTCCAGGGTGGAGTCCAATCTCACAACCCTGAGATCACGACCTGAGCCAAAATCAAGAGTCATACACTTAACTGACGAACCACCCAGGCACCCCTTGGTTTGCCAGCTTTGTATTTTTTTTTTTTTGCACAGCTCAATAAATTTTGAAATATGCATATACTTATGTAATCACCACACAGATTAAAGTATGCTGTTACTTTGCCGCTCTCACTTTAGTATTGTATCCATGTCCTTACGTGTACTGGTTGATCATGTGGCTAAAGATATTTTGTACCCTCTGAAGAGAATAAATCTTCAGTTGTCTGCAAAGATAATGGAGAGGCACAATGTCTACAATACTTAGCATTTCCTCTGGATTTTTTTCTTGAAGTAAAATTAGTTCACTTTCAAGGCCTTTTAATTATTTCTGATCATGGAAAATAATGTGTTATTTAAATTTTCTGCTTAATTCTAGGGAGAGTCTTATGGAGAGCCCCATTTGCTACACTGATTTGTCAAACATAAGGTTGCAAATTGGCAACTCCAGGAGAGTGGATTTTTTTCTTTTTTTGGCATATGAAGGAAGATCGGAGTGAGGTTTAGATACAGTAGGAGGAAGAATAAGCTGGAACCAGTAAATTGATTTTAGGGTTTGGCCATGGATATCACATTTTGGATAAAAGGAGGCTGGATGGTTATATATAAGAGAGGAAGAATTTTAATGGAAATATCAGATATTTAAAGGCTATCTTATGACACTTTATCATTAGTTCTTCTTTTCTATCTGGGTAAAAATAGCAAAAGATGGACTTGATGTACTTATTATATATTTTTTGAATGCATATTTAAGTAAGTTCCACAAACAATGCACTGAAAGTTAAGACAGGCCCAACCTGGAGGTCAAACCTACCTGGCTGAAGTGCCCCGAGGTGTGTGACACTCTCAACTGTAGTTGTTGTGGTGTCACCTGTTGGGATGGGGCCCCCAAATGTGGGGCCTGCCTGATGGGGTGTGGGGGGGCGGTGGCACCGGTGGTGAAAGCATTCACCTGAGGCAGAACAAAGGAGATAGAAGTTTATTGAATACACTGCAAGGAAGTATCGGGCAGGTCAGCAAAGCAGAGACTGTCGGCAACCAGGCAGTGGGTGGGGGCTGTATTTAAAGGAGGAAGGTGAGGATGTGTGGCGACTATGGCATTTTCCCTTTTTTGGTAACCGTGTCTGGTTGCAAATAGCTCATTGGTTAGTTAGGGCCTACAGATATTTTGAGGCGGGTCACCTGGTATTCAGCCAGGGGGTTGCTGTGGGCCCTTTCTACATTCTATCACTCAATCCTGTTGCGGCCTCTACAGTTGCTTTCTCTAGTTTCCCCCACACCTGGAAGTCCTCATTCAAAACCCATCAGAAACCATTTCCTTTGCTAAAAGATTTTAAAGTACTTTTACTTCAAATAAGTGCCTTAAAAATAAACTTACCAGGGGCGCCTGGGTGGCTCAGTTGGTTAAGTGCCTGCCTTTGGCTCAGGTCATGATCTCCTGGGATCCAGCCCTCAAGTCAAGTCGGAGGGTCCCTGCTTAGCTGGGAGTCTGCTTCTCCCTCTCCCTCTGACCCTACCCCCCACTCATGCTCTCTCTCTCTCTCCCAAATAAATAAATAAAATCCTTAATATTAAAAAAAAAAAACTTACCAGTTGCATCCTTGGAATCCACAGAAAACCCAGGGAGAGATGTTCAAGTGCCAAAAGGAACAGGGGCTGCTTACTCACTGGTAGATGATGTGGAAAACAAAGGCAGAAGAAAAATTATTAAATTTCCTTACTACCAGGGCGCCTGGGTGGCTCAGTCGTTAAGCATCTGCCTTTGGCTCAGGTCATGATCCCAGAGTCCTGGGATTGAGCCCCACATCGGGCTCCCTGCTCAGCCTGCTTCTCTCTCTCCCACTCCCCCTGCTTGTGTTCCAGCTCTCGCTATCTCTCTGTCAAATAAATAAATAAAATCTTTTTTAAAAAATGTCCTTACTATCTACGGCCCATTGATCAGTCCTTGAAACAGGCAGAATGACATTCCTCTAGAAACTCAGCTGCCTGGATGTTAATACTTTGCCAAGGGCAAAAGGCAATCTAACCCAATTCCCAGGATCCTGTAAATCTACTTTAACAAATAAAAATTCCTTTGGAAACTTCCTTTATCTCTACCCCACAAGATACATGTTGGCAATCGTTCCCCAAGCATATGATCCACCGATATACACCTGAAGGGTCTCATGACTCGGGTTTTATTATACAGTAATAAATGACCTTTTCCCAACAATAGCTAGCCCCCTCAAGTTCCTGGAAACCTTGCTTCCAAAATTTCTCAGAGACCTACACCATCCCTATTCCCCTCCCGACTTGAGAGTATATAGTCAACCACTCCTCATGACCCCGGGGCAGCTCTTTCTGCCCACCGGTCCTGTCCCGTGCTTTAATAAAACCACCTTTTTGCACCAAAGACATCTCAAGTTCTTGGCCCTCGGCTTCGAACCCGAACGTCTTTTCTCTATCAGTAGCCAGGGAGGCTTTGGCTCCCACTGAAGATGGGAGCTCGACTCACCTTCACCAGCGCCAGGACCCCGATTTCATCTTCATGCGGTTTTCAGATGAGGAAAATCGCACGGAGTTCTTCCCTTCCCTTGGCTCTATTTCCACCTCTCCCTCTCTGTCTCTTCCAGAGCGTTCTGGGAACCTAATACTGGGCAGGACCGAAAGGGGAGGCTGCCCTTCTCCTGCCGGTCCCTCCCGCCTGGGCGTCTTGGCAGCTCAGTCAGGCCGGGACGTTA